ACGGCAATATCAAATTATTGTTGCAAAAAAACCCTCTCAAAAACTACCATCACATCATTCAGTTTCTGCATTCATCTAACCAACACACAATGATTTGTATTGAAAGATCAAGACCTTTTGTGATTCTTTTTTTTCTATAAAACCATGTCAGCCTTGCCTACAAGTAACTGACTGTATCGAAGCAATAATGCAGTAAATCTTTCTTCTTCCCAGGGTCAGGATAAGCTAATACCAGCATTAGGCGTACAGAAAAAAAAGCTCCCATTACAGTTGCAAAATAAAATCGGGGCAGGCAAATGGCTGCAGAGGCTCTCATGTGACTGACACTTGGATTGATTCCCCATGACCTCAGATGTCCTGCTCAAATGACCTTGAGCAACAAACTGAATTTAAATCAACGCCATGGGAAACTGATCTGTCACTGCACTGCTCCTGACCTGCAAACCTCCTTGAAAATTAGGAAGATAAAAAGTAAACAGGAAATGTAGAGCTTATATATGCATGCCAGAGCTGATTTCTTTTTCTTTTTCCTGGGGCTGGCAGCACTGTGATTCTATTCCATGTAATCCTATCTGGATGTTATCAAAGATAAACCTTATTGCACAATAGGAAGCTGCTCACTTGTTTTTTCTTCTTTGGCCTATTACAGGAAAAGAAAAATGTCCAAATTCACCAAATGGAATTTCTCTTTGTTAAACGTTTAAAGGGATCGTTGACAAGTATCCAAATCACCACTAATTAAACTATTTCATTTGGTTTCATTCTTACCTGACAGAGACCCATCTACGTTTACATATTTATATTTGAGCAACAGTGATAACTCAAAAGGAAGATTTGTTTTGCTCATTGACTTATTTGTGCCAGAGGGTTATCGAATTACACTATTTATTTCTTAAAACTAAATGGCATAAGTGACCACTAATGCACTGACTGACACAGGATAACACGTTTGGCATTTTAATAATTAGCTTTGCACAAAAGCTGCAGACATAACAACAGGAAAAACTATATTGTTTGGAAAATAGCTGAAATAAACTGAAGTCTGCTTTAAAATGAATAATATAGAGGAGTAAATGTCTGTACTGTGCTGAAGCTGAAAAAGAATTTATGAAAGGAGATGGATGTTTTATTGGCTGGCAAGTGATGGGAAATTTAAACACTCAGTGTGAGAGTGTAAGACTTGTAGGATGAGATATTTCCAGTCAGGACAGCTGAGTTAAATCCTCTTGAACTTTTTTTTTTACCAAGAACAGAATGTGATTAGAAGATCTTGGCAGCACGCCAGTCCAGTAAAAGAAGTTTGTACATGCTGGTAAAGTAATCAGAAAAGACGGTGGTTCTTTGTCATGCTTTGTGTATGAACCATGAATCTCCAAGCGGCAGATTGTAAGTATTTTTGGTGAAGGAAGCAAGTGTTGGCATGACTTTATCTGAGATATGTTGGCATCTATTCAAATTTTTTTCTTAATTCCTTTATCAGCATAAGGAGAATGTCCTTCACCAGTGGTAGAGTCAACATGGCAGGAGCATTTTGTTGTGTCTATTGGCTTTGGTGTTGAAGTAGACAAAAGTGAGACAATCCATTGAGTTTTCTTGTTATCGCCCCATGTAATCTACCTCTTCAGTGTTCCCACAGTAACCTCCCAGGTGCTGTCTCTTTGCACAATGAAGTGCAGTGTAATGCTAAAGATTTTTTGGGATACAGAAGACATAAAGGGGTTATTAAAAAGCTTGCAATAGATAATAAGATTTGTAAGCCTTAAATTACTTTATTCATTTTGCTTGGAAACATGGTATTAGGAACAATAGGCTTGGTATAAATGTTCCCCAAAATGTCATGGGGAAAAGAGGATATATGTCTGCCCATAAAATGTCAAGTAACTCAGGAAAAACTGTTAACCTGGTACAAATGGCTTATTATTCTAAATTACAAGGTGTAAGCTATTGGAAACTAAATATTGGCTAAATATGAAATATTTAACCTCCTAGGACCTGCCGTCCACATATGTGGACATCACATTTTGGGTTATTTAGACCAAAATACAAACAGGGCAGCACGGTGGCACGGTGGATAGTACTGTTGCCGCACAGCAAGAAGGTCCTGAGTTCAATTCAAACACCAGGCCGGGGTCTTTCTGTGTGGAGTTTGCATGTTCTCCCCGTGTCTGCGTGGGTTCCTTTTACATTCATCGGGCCCCAATATGCCCAAATATCAAAGAGAAATTAAAAATGCATGCTGTGGAAGAGTTCGGGTCTTAGGAGGTTAGAGTCAGACTTCATATTATGAGATGATCTGGCGGGATGGCAATGGTTTGTTTTATATTTAGTTTAGGGTTTTTTTGTTTATTTTGTTTGTTTAAATTCAGTCATATCACAATTGCTAGTGGGCACTGAATTTGTATTTACATTTTTTAATTTTATTTATTTATTTTTGACACAGTCAGAGGACAGCAAGTGCTAGAAATGAGAAAAGTGATGTCATCAGGGTTGATCCAAGGTCGCAACAATAAAGAAGTCTTCTGTTGGGATCTTGTTTTTAGCCTGGCCTGCCAGCAGCCAGCTGGGCACAGCTTCGAAGAACCATTTCAAATTATTCTCAAATTCCATACCCCCATGGAAACAAGACGAAGAGAAAAACCCTAACTTGTGATAAGGAGAGGAGGTGAAGACAGAAAATGCAACTTTAACATAAACAGAGCAAAAAGGTTGGTTCACACAGTGTAAACAAGTGTGAACCTGACAGAATAACGTTATACATTCAACAAGTCATTCCTGAAGATAAGCCTTATAAGCTTTCCTAAACCTCTGCACAAATGATCCTCTTTATTAGCTAATTTAAAGCACAAACTGTTTCTCCATGTGTTTGTTACTGTGAAAAAGAAACGTATATGCTTTTTGCCTACTTGAAGAGACTTTAACTTAAGAAGCTACCTGTAAAGGCTTGATCTGTATTACTATAAACATGTTTTGGTTTTGTACACTTATATTACCAAATGTAGGTACAGGAGCAAACTGTTCCAGCTCTTGCTGGAGGGGTTTTTCTTGGACAAACATCCAGAGGCATAAAACCCACTGACAAACTAATGCAGGTGCAAAGGGTTAAAACAACAGCACAGTGAATGCGAGGCACGAACAGGAGAAAATAGCCCACAAAGCCCTATCGACTCTATTTCTGAGAGCACAAAGAATAGCGTTTACAACAGCTTGAAAAGCACACTCGACACTCTGGATCGGATTTCTGAGCCACAGACTATTTCTGTCTGGGCCTGATTGATATCAAGTAGAAATAGGTAGGAAAAATGTATTTGCTGATAAATGTTATAGATAAAATTTTATTATGATAACTCTTTGATTGTGGCTTTGTTATCTAAGACAAAATCATTTTCAAACCATTTCTATAATCACAGTAAAACATAATTATGTTTATGCATAACTCACTCAAGAAATATAACTCTATCAGCAGTAGTTACTTTTATTGATGTATCCCATGTTCGAATTGCACTACCAAATACAAAAAGAAAGCACATTTAAAATAATAGTGCATATACACTCATGTGAAAAAGAAAGCTTTCTCAGGACTATGAAAAACTGAGTACACCCTTACTGCTTCCCGAGGAATTAAGATGGTAAGCAGCCTCCAGGTGCTGCTAATCAAATGCACTTGATTAAATGATCATCACCAAGTGTCACCACCATTATAAAGGCAGAAGTCCCTAGTCTGGAGCATTCAGATTTGTATAAGCACAATGCCATAATCTTGTATGTTGATGACCTGTTTAGAACGATTGGCAGGAAAAAAGCCTTTTTCTTCTAAAAAGAGCACATCAGCACAGCTGAGGTTTGCAAAGTTACATCTGAACGAATTACAGGACATGTGGAACATCTGCACTAAGTAAAAAAACATCAGGAGAAGCATTTCATACCAACCATGAACTACCAACTGTCATGGTGATGGAGGGGTTATGGTTTGGGCTTGTTTTGCATCTATAGCAGTGATCCCCAACTGCCGGGCCACGGACTGGTACCGGTCGATGAGTCGTTTGGTACGGGGCCGCAAGAGTTGAGGCTTGGGTGTGAAATTTATCGTTTTTATCGTTTTTTTAGCATTTTTTTTTTATCGCTTTTATCGTTAACTCAGTTCCCCTGGGTCTTTCACCATGTGTTATGAATAAATCTTTTTTTTTTTTTTTTTTTTTACACTGGTGCTGTTTTTTTGTTGTATTTATCGGCGTCACCTTACAGGCCGGTCCGTGAAAATATTGTCAGACATAAAATGGTTCGTGGCGCAAAAAAGTTATGGACTGCTGATCTACAGGATTTTGGATGCAACCTGAAATCACTGAGTGGCCCTGATCACTGTCTGTAGAACTGGCAGCTTGCACATCTGAAAAGGCACTATCAGTGATAAAAGACATATAGTTGGACAAATGTTCCCATTCAGGGGACCCATTTTTGCATAGAAGGCCTTGAATGTATAAGCTAAACTGCATAATGCATATATTACAACAGAATGGTTTTGTATTAGAAGAGACTGGGACCTGAACTGGCCTCCCTGCAGTTCAGACATTTCACCAGTTTCGATGCTTTCGATGTTCTATTGTGAATAAAATCTGTTTTGTTTTTTAGCTCTAAAACTTATTGCATTCTTTTTTATTTACATTTAAAGAGCTTCCAACTTTTCTGGAATTAATGTCGTATATATCAGAAAGCATTAGTCCAAGATTTTTGCTGCAACTTTCTACAAGGTGAACTATAGGGTGTACTTGGTTTTTCACAGGAGTGCATGGAATCCTGTAAAAACTTTTTTCATCATCATTATCATTTTATGACTTCTAATTTTCACTTGATAATTTATAGTCACTGTGTCCATGCTCTAATTGTGACTATAAGTGCCTAAATAACTGGAAATTATAGGCAAGGCAAGGCTTCTTAACTTTTGTAAAAGAAATAATAATAATAAAGATAAAAAAATTTTTTAAAAAACCTAACAAAAAACAAAATAAGATTGTATTCAAGGTACACAAAGTTTAAAAAAAAAAAACAACTCATTAAAGTCATTGTTATCAGTGCAGTGTGGGTTGTGTGACCCTAATTGAGCTTCCAGCTACTCAAAGAAGCGTTAGCAAGTCCCTCATTGGAACTATGACCAAGCTATTGTGATATAAATTTAAAAAATATCACACATCTGCTATTATTCTTATCCCAAACAACCTATAAAATGTTCAAGCATAAAGCCCCAATGTCTTCTAAAAGATTTAAAAGATTTATGAAAGATTTATCTTCATCACACATTCATTGATATCACTTTAATCCCATGGGCATTGATGTAGGTGAGGAGGACCTTTGCTCGCCTCTCGATAACATCAATTAGCTTGTCAATGCCCTGACGACCCCCTTGGCTTTCCCAGTATGTCTCGTCAAGGAACAGAGATTGGAGAAGTTTTTCCCTCAGTTTTCTGGTTTTCAGCACAGACACAGCTTGCTCTGGAAACCTAGAAAGGCATAAGAGGAAACAGGAGGAAGTGTAGTCACACTGTAATACTGTGCAGATTCTATACATTAAACATCCATTCGCTTTTCCTTTTCAGGGTCGCGGGGGGTGCTGGTGCCTATCCCAGCAGTCATAGGGCGAGAGGCGGGGTACACCCTGGACAGGTCGCCAGTCTGTCGCAGGGCCAACACACAGAGACAGACAACCACTCACACTCACATTCACTCCCGCATTCACACCTATGGGCAATTTAGATTTTTAAATTAACCTATCCACACAGGACTGTGGGAGGAAGCCGGAGTACCTGGGGAGAACCCACGCAAACATGGGGAGAACCTGCAAACTCTAACCATGTAGCTATTTATAGGTTATTTCTAAGCCCAAACTCCCCAACAAGTTTCATCACATCTGACTTTCATTTTTGCAGAATGGAATTAGGTGCAAATAGGCATGTCCAAAATGTAATTCTTCATAGATATGGTAAACATAGGTGGTGACATTGTGATTTAGCTAAACAGTTCCTGCAGTTCCTCTGGTCTGAAGATGCCAATGATAACAGAATGTTTCACTAAAGTCGACTATTAAATAAATTTGTGGAAGTGCCAAACCCATAAAAAATAATTAAGAGACAGCAAAATTAAATGTCTGTATTTTATACCAAGTGGTTATGACATGTTGTCTTTGTACATCAGCAACCTTGAAATCTGAAATGTTTTTGCTTTTTTCTTCTTGGCAGTAAAAACTGCATTTATACAATCACATAACTGGAGGTTTGTGTAACTAAAACATCACTTGAATCAAATGATGGGTTACTCATACTTTTAGCACATTGATGGTTTTTTTTGACATTTTAATAGCTTTTGAGTGGGTAAAAGCTCCCTTCATACAAATTAAATGAAAAGTGAGAACCGTATATCATGTGAAGCAATTGGACAAAGCCTGTCCTACTCTGTACGAGATGACTGTGAATGAACAATGGTAAAAGTTAAAGTGGTGCTCTTACTTAGAGATAGTGTTTTGTGATTTGACTTTAAGGTGCAGTTTTTGCCTGCCTAGAATCAAGATTCACCAGAGCCATGCAGGTTGCTATTTATTAAATGAGTTTAGATTTTTACGCATTTATATTTTTCAGATAAACTTTGTATCATTACTGCTCAGAATTTGCTTAGAATAAAATGTCAAACATTGGTTATTTTGGCTTTGAGAAAAGTCAGCGAGATAACACCTCTTCTGATCTACATGAAATTAAAGTTCAAGTTCAAATTTTATTCACCACATGCAGCTTGCCCTGCAGTGGAATGAACCCGCCCCCCGACCTTACACACACAACACAGACATCATGGGGATACAAGTCAGAGAACGGTTGCATTACAGAAAACCACTGAAATGTACACCACAATGGGAAAAATATATATTTATTGTATCCTATGATCTTTCATCGTCTTTTATTTAGAATTTAGCTTTTATGGCTTTATCTTACATGAATGCCAGAATGGAAGGTACATTTTTGCTGGTGAAAACAAGGATTCACATTATGTGTCACATTCACAAACATGTTCTTGCCATACCACAGATTCTCTGCTGTCTCCTTAGCGAGTCCCTGATTTATTGATCAAAAGGATGGATGAAATGAAAGGGATGCCTATGAAGTGTACGTTTACAAATCCACATAGACCTGTGGTGCATAAAGCGATGTGTTCTCATCATGGGATGTCTAATAATGCAGAAGATGTCTTTTGGCATGTGTTTCTTCACAAACTGCACACTCGACCTGCAAACTACCATTTTTTTTTAACATTGAAAGTATTGTAACATTATAAGTTAGAATTGAAAATTTTAAATCATAAAGTACACTTTTAACTTTAAAGTTTAAAAATTCACAACCTGCAGTCACTGATTTGTGTGTGGGTTGGCCAATTACTGTGAACCAAATTCAGAGTTTCCAAGCAGATTTGGCATAGATCCCAGATGGAGATTTAAATATGCTTGTTGAGTGTGCTGGAAATTTTCAAATATGTTGTCAAGGGCGGAAATGAGAAAAACAGCTGCTGAAAGCAGCTAAATCCAGACTGTCCATAGATGTTCCTACTCTGTGTGGACATTTTTTTCATCTCAAAAAATAAGTACCGATACACAACTCAGGGTCATTGTTTTGAATGTTGTGCAGATTTTTTTCTTTTTTTACAAATGTAAATGACTGTCTGACAAATTATTACTTTTAAACAAGTTGATCTATATGTAAACAGCAAACTGGATTTACACAATTACTTGTTGCTTGCACAGTTTTCAGTGTGTAATCGTTTTAAAGACATTGAAGCTCAAACAACACTTGTAGTATAAACAGCAGCTTTATCACTTGAAGGACATGTTTCAGCCTCTGGCCTTTTTCTGATATATAATTATTTGTAAACATCTGATTGAAATTAATTTGATCTATAGCTCATAATAAACAAATCATATAATCTATTTCATTATTCAACACTGCATGGCCAAGGGATTAAAGCTGTATTTTAGGCTAGGAATATATAGTAGTAGGAATATATAATGTTTTTTTAAAACATTATATATTTAAACAGGTTAATTAATTATTAATTCATGTTAATGCTCCAAACTTACTCTTTGATTCCCGCCAACAGCCTGAAGTCCAAGTTGTCCTCATTACGGTCAAAGAATCCCTTGTTGTTGGTGAAGACCAGGTGTCTGGGGTTGTGGCTCCTGTAGATGATGTTTTCTAGCTGTATGTGGTTAGCATCTTGACATTTAGCATGGTAACCCAGTTCAATGCACACATCCTGCTGCCGAGGCCTGAACCCACAGCAACCCTGGTCCAGGCGGTTGTTAATCTAAAAATACAGTTCACACATTTCTTCATTAAATGTTTGGAGATGATATTTTGAGACTAAGAGTGCAGTTCAGAGTGGCATTCACAGAGTTTTCTTATTCATTGGGTTTTCTTTTGCGTTTTTATATTTTTAATGACAAAGGTAAGCACAGTTTTACTCTGAATGGGCTTACTTTGCATTTCTGATGATCTCTCTTTATCATGATCTAAATAATAATTTCATGAATAGATAACATTCAGCTGGCAGTGAAAGCACACAAACCTAGAGGGCTGGCAATTGCACTGACTCTATTGTACCACTAGTTTACTGGACATCAACATCAACTAGTCATGTAGACTGCTGAGTCACATGACTGTACAGGAAACTCACTTAAGTATATCAGGCTTCTCCACAGGGAATGACAACCCTATATTTAGCTACAGCCCTCATCCATTCTTAATCCTTTATGTGAAATCACTTGAGTTGTGGAGGTTTCAGACAGTGCTGTGACAGCACTGCTGTCAGAGTAAGACAAGCTGAAATGTCACACATAGATTTAGATGGGACTAAATGCTGCTCACAGGCGTGGTTTTCTAAGGCCTGAGGTTTAGGGTAACCTGGATGAATAAGCATTTGTAAGGCTTTGAATTGGACAAAAATTAAATAGATCCTTATTACCTTGCAAACAAGCATCCATGCAGCTAATAGTAATAAAACAGAGCTTTTCCAGAGCTGTCACAGAAATACAAATGTTATTTGTAGCTTGACTTGATGAAAAATTAGAATTTATTAGTTATTCAAATATCTAAGACGATCGTCTGCCTTAACACTGTAGGGTGCTGGTGTGTTACATTTAACAGAAAACTCAATTGCCATAATAACAACAATAATATTAATAATAATAAAGTTAGACTAAAACTCATTGGAAGTTATTATTGGTTTTAAAATTTATTTTATTTGAAATATAAAACAAGGCAAATATATATATATAGACATTCTCAGTTTCCTTCATGTCATGCTAGTTGTTGTTAGAGGAACTGTATGAGTTACATTAACTTTAGTGTGCAGGCATTTTGATCTACAAAACGAGAGGTTAAGTCAGAATAAAAAAAAGTACTTTTGTGATAAGAGAGGAGTTTCTTTTCAGGTCACTAATGTCTTTGACAAGATGTTTTGTAACAATGAGGAAATATATGTGAATGATCAAAGTTGTGCCACCATGACCTCAACAGACAATTTAACTGATAAAGATTGTCAGTGTTTCCGAATAAGTATTTTAAGATTCGTCTGTCTACTTTGGTTTCTCTGTCATGATGATGGGGTAAAATGAGTAGTTCTCATAAAATGTGATTTACTGAGGCCTCCCATACAGGAAGCAAGAACTCTCTTCAGCCAAATGACAATACCACTGAGAATTGTTTTTCTTAATCAGATATTGGAGCACATTTTCTTTAACAGTTACCTGTAACAAAAAGTCAAACAGAGCAAGTTTGCTCCATTCATAGTGATGAATTGCAGAGCAGCCAGAATCAGACTTTGGACTTTGCCAACATCTCTGTTTAAGGGAGTTCTGGTACTCCCCCCATGTTAACTTCAAACTGGTCAAACCTGCAGCAAGGCCTGCTGGGTATAGAGATGCATCCCATGACACAACTGGACAGGACTGCCCATCTAAAGAGGGAAGAAAGAATAATTACATGCTTAGATTTTAGCAGCTGTTTCTGTTATTAACCAGAAAAAGTCTATAAACACTTTTTACACTCATGTTACCAGAACTTATTCCCTGCAATGATGAAGACTGTCCACACACCGATTATCATATTTGCACCCCAAGACCAAATAATGAACTAACTCATAGACATGTAAAAATATTTCTAAATGTATTATGCTAAAAATAAAAAGAGACAGACATTTCCCATAGATGGAAAAAAAAATGGTTATGCAAGAAAATGAGGAAAGAGGGCAGAGGTATCCTGTCACTAGCTGAATATGGCCCCAAAATCTGTTTACCCTTGGGCTGACACTTTGTGACGTCATCATGTAAAATACATTATTTGCGCTATTTATGAAAAAGGAAGATGTTAGTACTTTTTGGTCCTCTCTTCCCCTGAATATGTGTATAAAATGTGTATTCCCTCAGTTTTTGTTCCTTCTTTACTATTAATGTTACAAAATGACAATGAGCAATGTGAATAATGTTTTTCCATTGAATATGAATTAGGATTAGGTAGTCTTGCTCAATGACTTAAAAAAAATATCACATCCACGAGGACACAATGTGCAGGTGACGTTTTGGTGTCCACCCCCAAAGAACAAGGTTCTTCTTGATTCCAAGCCTGAATGAATCTGTATTTCACATAGACCCCATTAGTGGGTTAAGGTAACAAATAAACAGTTTTTATGGTATGGCTAATCTGTAGGTTGCAGTTTCTGTCGCTATATCAATAGATACTGTAGTGACATTTGCACAGTATTCTTAGCATGATGAAACCAGGCAATGTAGTTAGAATAACCATAAACAAAACCGTATATTTTTAACAAGTGTCAAAAAAGAAAACTTTGTCCATGTGCTTGATGACCTACCGTATAAAAAGCGAAACTTTCTGCTTACAGCTGGCAACGTCCTATTAAGCCCCAGCACTCTGTCCAAATGAAAAGCAAAAACCTCTGTGGTATCCACCGGGCTGTGGATGACTCCACATTGCCCTCCGCATACAGTGCTCGTTTTTGCGTGCTGTTGGTTCGCCTGTTGAACGTTTGTCTCACCCTCAAATATCAGAAGCGAAAGAGCGTATCCATGAGAGACTTCTTTCATGCGCAAAACTTTGGCATCCGCAAGAAAGCGCATGGTTTTCACATCCTGTGCGCTGAACCATGGTGGTGGCCTTTGACTGTATATTCGAATTGAACTAATCTGAGAGTCTGCTTCTTCATGTTTATAAATTTTATGGCTTATATCCTGTGATTTATAGTCAACATCCATGGCTTCCTTCCGTGAAGGTATGGGTGCAAAGTTGCGCTTAATTTGTAACGCATCCCCCTCCAAAGTGCGAAGTTTGTCCTGGGTAAAAGACAGATTGGAAGACTTATTTTTTCTCCCTTTTCTCCTCACTTTGGGTCGGATTGTACCTCTTATATGTGCTGGTTTTCGACGCTTAGTTTTTAAGGTTATGTACACCACGTTGTAGCGAGTCGGGACTATGAAGCTCGAATCGTTCTGCAAGTCTGGAGAGTGTGGCTGGCCATCGTTGATCTCCAAATTATACAATCCACGGGTGTGCCGGTACTTCTCATCAATCCTTCGGCTCCGGTGCAGTTGCGAGTATCCAACTTGTGAAAACACAAAAAGCAGATAGATTACACAGACAGACGCAATTATCAAACTTCTTTTTGAAAGAGGGCACCTGCGAAAGTTGCCGGTCAGTTTTAGAATAGGGAAACTTAGCCAACAAAAGTCAGACTTCCCCATTAGAATTTATGTCATTATCACGACTTTGTCCTTTTTGCGACAAACTCTTACTGGGGAGGAGCGCAAAACTTCCGAGGATTTCTGTGAGTAGAATGGAGGGCACAACTGCGCAGTGAATGGAGGGTCATGCTTGGATACCACCCTTCTCGGAAATGAGAAGCAATTTAAACCTTATAGTTTTTTCTCTCCTTCTCTTCAGGTACAGACTTGGCCAATGAGAGCCTAAATTATCAAGTTTTTGTTTTTTAATTAATAATTCAGCCCCGAAAATAAAACACACACAGGCCATGTGATATTCAAACTTGATCAAGTGCACTGCAATATCCCTAAATTAACCTTTGATATTTCTATGTCACGCTATTAAAATCCACATCGAAGCCCATTGGGGTACACCACAACTCCTTATGAAGGTTTATAAGGGGTAATGTAAACGTGTTTTTGAACTTACGTGAGATATAGACATATTTTACAAAAACTGAAATAAGGAAGTTAAGCACTACACAACATATTAACTAGGTTGAAAATGAAATAGTTTAAAACTAAATATTTGATCGCTACATATTATTTGTATGCGTTTTAGGCGACATCTGGTGGTATACTGTCCTAATTCTTCATGGCAACTCCCAAAGCTGTTTACGTTGTGGAGACACAATAGCAGTAAAAAAAATTTCCTTAGGTGTTGGGAGAATGTGGGGTGGGCGCACCAGTCCACTTAGCCTACAGGATTTCCTTTTATGAATTACAATAGTTGTGACCAATAGAGCTCGTCAATCTAACTACAAGTGCTGTTTTCCTTGTCATTCATGGCCGACAAAGAGTAGGCCTAAACTAGACGATGTATAGTTAAAATAAGTGTATATAAATATATACACTGTCGGCTATAAATAAGCAAATACTATAAACAGCATTATTTTAAATGTCATAAGATAAATTACTCCAGAAAACAGACATGATGACAAGCCCTCATGGTTGTGTGTTTTCGTGTCTGTAAGTATATGCATATATGCGCTACATCCGCAGCAGCTGTTGTGTAACAAAGTGATTAGATAACTGGCAGCACCTGACTGACTTACCACTGCAGACACAGACAGCCTCCAGCAGTTTTTAATGTTGTAGACCTGAATTATCAAAAGCAAAACAAATATTCTGTTTTAACATGCTCCAAGCAAAATCCTTACTTTTTCTTTTATTCGTCTCTGCCTTATTGATTGCGAGCTGTCATATCGCTGAAGGTTTGTAAAGTATAATTGGTCTGTGATGAATAGGGGCTGCGTGTGGTTGCATTAGGTTGGCTTTTTGTTTGAAGTCAGATTTGTTCTTTAACCTCTTGCTGTAAAAACTTTACAGGTGCAGAAGATGGCTACAAAAATGATGGAACCGGTGAACTGGAATCATTTAACATTACTTTTAACTCATCTAGGGCTATCTCACATTTTGCCTATGGAATTACCGCAAATATGGCTGCTGTATTTTTGTATGGAAGCAACTTCGTTCCTGTCAAAAGAGTAGAGACTGGTGATGGTGAGCATATAATTGTTTATTTTTCTGAGAGTTTGGATATTCTTATTTGTGTTATTTTTGGATGAAAGCTCCATTTTAAATGTTTACTTTTCAAGTGAGGAAAATCTACACTATTTTGCAAAGTTTTGAGACCATTTATCTTTGTGTTTTATTTACAGGTATGTTTTTTCAGTGGGTTACCGGTGCAGCAATATGGGTTGTATCTATGTTTGGAGACTTGATGCTTCAGTCACCCAAGTTCTGCCCATTTGCAATGCTTGGAGGTGTGCTTTGGGCCACAGGTATTGTGGAAGTTGAGGGTTTTTGTTTTTTTTTGTTGTTTGTTTGTTTTTTCTAATTTAACAACAAATAGTTTAATGCCAAAGGTTCCGGAAACTGGACTCTGGTGTCCAGCAGGATGTTGTTCTAAAATTAGGTTATTGATAGTCCCTTGTTGAACATGTGAACAGTTTTAGGGGGGAAATCAGTGTGACCCAATTTCATGCTTTAAATTCATAATGCTATGTGCTTAACGTTGAACAGATCAATGGGTATTTAGAGTGCAATACAAAATGTCCCTAAAACTTTTGTAGTGGCGAGTATTCATTAGTCATGTTGTTAAACAACAAACTGTTCAGGGAATAGTGTGACATAGTTGCTGAGGCAAGAACTGGGACGTTGCAGTTCTCCAGGGTTTTCAAATTTGCCAGATCAAAACGTTTTAAAAAAAAAAAAAAAAAGAATTGAATTGAAAGCTGCTTCATCATAATCTTTGCCATACCTTACTAGACAGAATCAAGTGCCACAGATGGACACAGACTGTTTTTTTCATGAATATCTCTAAATATCAGATATTCACTAGATCCTCATTCAGGTTTGATAGCATTTGATAGTCGATGAGGGTAGATGGCTTGAGTATGAATTGAGGCTGGGGTTTGGGGAAGACTTCAGAGGGGACTGGGAATGGCTCCTGGGTCAGTTAGACTCCATGTACTAATGAGAAGTGAATAAATAAAATATATTTTTGCATTCAGATATAGCAATGGAAATGGTGCAACTCTAACTTTGTCAGTAACATTTACATGTTAACTTCTTCCATCTATCCATATGGTCTACAGGAAATGTAGCAGTTGTTCCATTTGTTAAAGCTATTGGCCTTGGTCTTGGCATCTTAATTTCGGGATCCTCTAATTTGTTGATGGGCTGGGCCAGTTCAAGGTGAGTTGAGTTAATGGAATGTACACTCTGGATTGTAAATAAAATAATCCTGTCTTTGCATGACTTGGATTGAATGAAAAATAACTGAATTGGTCACTGATTGTGTCTGTCCTAGATTTGGCTGGTTTGGGATTGCTGCACAGAACGTTTCACATCCAATATTAAATTATTGTGGAGCTGGATTGTGTCTGCTAAGGTAAACCGCGTTTGGAATTGTAATGACCCAGCCTGTGTTGTTTATTTACCCCCACCCAAAAACAGTGATGGCTACTGTCTGCTGCTGTCATTTTTCAAACCATATCAGCTGGATGTACATGACACTTTTTTTTCCTCCTTTGATTCAGTGGGCTGATCTTTTTCTTTGTGAAAGCGGATGTAGAGCTACTTCACACTTCAGAAACAATTCCATTACTGATTGACAGAGTGAGTGTGTCACTGACTTATTTTTATCAGCTTGTCGAAGTAGGTTGATTTTAGAAAATACTTTCTTTTTATTTTCTTCCTATTCACTCAAGGCAAAAACTACTTTGTCTTAAAGCCTGTCATCACTTTATCATGCATTTTGTGTGGTGTACATACAAATTGGGTCGATGTTTCTCTTTGCAGAGAACAAATTCAGGAAGCTATGGACAAAATTCCTCTGAATCCTGGATCGACACTATTGGACCAAAGAGCAAACGATTCATGTGAGCTCATCTCATTAGGAGCCTCTCAGATGTGTGCATTATTACTATTAGCATTTTTCATTGCTGACAAACAATGGCTACAGCAGCCACTCTGTCATGGATTTTAAATCATAGATGAATGAATACAATTTTACGCTTTTTAATTATTAAAAAAGTAATAAAAAGTAAAACAATTCATTTACATTGCATCTTTTAAATGAAGGTAATAGTTATTTGTTTAGAAGCTGCCTGCCAGTGTGGTTTTTAGGTGTAAGAAGTTTTAAGTCATGACTAAAAACAGTTTCACACATGACAACCTTGCTCTTACTGTGAGTTTTTGTTTTAGCAGCAGAAAAAGACTTAAAATGTGAGCACCAGGCTGTAAATGTAGCAGTCACAGCCGATATTCAATAAATGTAAAAAAACAACAGAGTGCAAAAATAACATCACTTTTGTGCTGTGTTTTCCTGCATACCCATTTACCCAAGCACTGTCAGTTTTTATCGGCTCTTTGCAATATCTTGGAATTAACCATAGAAATTGAATGATGTATCAGTGGAGATTTAAAATGCATTCTTCATCCAGTTCCTCAATGTATTCTGCCTCCTTTTCACCAGTGGTTTTCTCCTTGCTGTTGTGGCGGGCCTCATGTATGCTTTCTCCATCATACCGGTCCTGTACATTAAGAGCAATTCTGTGCACCATGACAGCTTGTTCTATGAATCCAGTGTCTACGGTATGTTTTCTACTCAGGTACCACTTTATGCTGCACTTTTTTTTTCTTTTTTTGCAAAGCTGGCTTGAAGGAAGTATTGAAGAAAATACATTTATCATAGATATAAGGATGGATCCAGTTGCTGCTTGATGAAATACTAGTCCCTCCTGAGAACCAGGTGTAATATTTCCAACTTAATTCCCGTTTCTATCTTTTCACAGATCTCGACTATGTTCATGCACACTGCTGTGGTATTTTCATTGCAAGCACTGTGTACTTTGCCATCTACTGCGCTGCCATGAATACAAAGCCGAAGCTTTACTCCAGAGCTGTACTTCCAGGTAGAACATTATTTCTGAAAAGGCACTCTTCCAAAGCCTATTGTATGACCGTGATCTTTAGTAATTAATGATTGGGCTGCTTGGAACAAATTTGGAATTCTACTCAGGTTACTGAGTGATGATTTATTGTGAACAAGCAATCAATGTGTTTCCTTGAAGAGACTGAATTTATTTTTTTAAATTACTCTAGCCTTTTTTTTTTCTCCAGTGTCTATGAACATTCACTTTGTATGAAAGCTTTCAGTAGCCTTTTTGTTTTGTTTGTTTTTTTTCCTTTCCCATGACTGGAGGGGGGAATGTCAGTCCAAATTTTTCTAAAATGTATATTCAGTGACATGAAGTTTAAAGTGTGTGTGTGTGTGTGTGTGTGTGTGTGTGTGTGTGTTTGTTTGTTTGTTTGTTTTAATTGTTTTCTCAGCGTTCCAATTTTGAATAGTTACAATTTTGCGATTATGTGATGTATGTATGGCAAAAAAGTGGAAACAAGCTTCCATAGTTTTGTTTACTTTCTCTGAGTTCAGGTTCACACCCTACTTGTATACTGGCAGTCGATCAGCGTCACCTGTTATTACTACTTATTGTGCCAGGTTGCCCTTTACTGTCACTTTTTCAATGGTCAGGGTTGTCAGATGGACTAGACACAAAAGGTAAGACTTTACCCAAAAATACACAGCAGGTCAATATTGTGGGAAAAAAATCTTTTAAAGCTAATTTTAACCTGTTCCTGTGTGGTTTTGGTATGGCAGGTTTTTGTTGGGTTTTTTTTGTTTTTTTTGGTTAAATAGCATATTTTATGACACCCTGAGATGTGTGCCTCTTTAGAACCAAGCTAGTTCCAAAGGTACATAGAGTAAAAAATGTGGGGGTTAAGAATATTAGAGTGAAAATGTCAAACAAAAAACCCTGAAGCCTTGGACAAAGTACAAAACTATGTAACAGATTTCTATAATGTGTCATACATTTCTCACAGAAGGGAGAGCAGTCTGGATACATTTTGTGAATTCTTTCCCTTGAGTAATGTAACCTGTGTACAATTTTATACTGAATTAGGCAATGACGGGAATTAACAAAAAGCATATTTATGTTGCGTAAGACCTCCTGCCAACAATCTTCCGATAGGGAGATCATATAACGGCATGTCACTTGTCCTGTGGCGACTCATAGACACACACTGTGTTCATATTGCTAATCTCTTATTTTGGTTTTTGTTTTTTTGTTTTTTCTTTCTAGATCAAAGGAATCATAGGAATCATAGTTTGTTTGTTTGTTTTTAATGCATTTTTACTCAAACATAAGTACCTTACGGTCTCCTCTTGCTCTTCAGGTCTGTTGTCTGGACTGATGTGGGCAATTGGGACATACTGCTGGTTCCTGGCCAATAACTACCTGAATTCTGTCATTACATTTCCAATTGTCACAGTGGTAAGTGCAACATATTCTGACAGCTGGGAGGATTCAATTAATAAGTAAAACAATGAACATTCTGAAACCACTTGGACTGCAGATTGATATTGAAGGTTTTCACATTGTTCTGCATTACATGAATATTTTCAAAAGAAGTTGGATCTAAAATACTGACAGCACTTTAAGGGTGTGTCAGAGTCAGAGAGACTTCATTTATCCCCAAGGGCAATTAAGATGATACCTTGTCGACCTTGTTTTGTATACAATACAAAAACATCACATTGGGGGGACAGGTCAGGCTAGGTTTCACTGACCGGTCGTTGGCACGAGCAGCGACCCAAACTGAAACAATGGAAAATGCACAACATGAGGAAAGACAAGGGGGGGGGGGGAAACAACTCCCCCCAGAATGAACTCCAACAGGGGAAAAAAAACAAAAAACACCTGAGCACATGGATCATCACATCTCACAACATAGAAGACATAAGCTATTGAGCTACGATTTGCAGCTTTCTTACCAAATTGCATTTCCCCAGAAGCAATGTAGCTGGGGTAAAGCATGTTGCAACAAGATCAATTAAGTGTATCCTTCATACATGGAAAAAGCCATTAGTGCTTAAATATCCTAGATTGTCTATTGCATTGAACCTTTAGTGAATGTTCGATGTGTATGCACAGCTAAAAGTGCTAAACGGATCAGACACTGTTGGAACAAATGGCTAACCCATTTATATCCTGTTCTTTTAAGCTGGTACTTTAGTTTCATCAAGTCAATGGTCTAAGCTCAGACAGCTTGTTTGGTTTCCTTTCTTCAGGGCTATGGTCTGGTTGCTGCTCTGTGGGGGTGCCTGGTGTTTAAAGAGATTAAGGTAACGATCAAAATATTAGCTAGTCTTGTTTCTTGACTGTACAGTAGCTCAAAGGCTTTGCATGTAAGTGTGCCGTTTACAAAGGGGAGATTCTAAACAATATCAAGTTAAACTGCAGTTGATCAGGAAGGCATTTACCATCCCAAAAGGAAGAATTTTTAATTAAATGTTTCTGAGAAAAATCATCCTCAGATGATTAACTTCTCCCACTTTCTTTCCGCAGGGCTTGGTGAACTGCCTGATCTTCTCATTGGCCTCATGTGTTGTGCTGACCGGATCTGTGCTGACTGCCATATCAAATCTCTAATAATGCAGAACAGTCAAACATCTAATTTTCTCCATTTTTGTTTTCTGTATCAGTGAGGAGAAAAGGCAGTGTTTGCTTTTTATAAATGCATTAAATCATGTTTAGAAAAATTGAAATATAATTATAAACCTTTTTAGTTGCATAGCAGAAACCTTATGCTCTGCAGTTTACTGTTAGGAAAATATTTAAAGTGGATTTGCGTCTGGACTTTGAAAATCTATTTGGTTTGTTACTAACAAATGAATAACACAAATGTCACATTTAATGCATCACACAGCAGCTGCTGTTTTCACTAATCAGGACTGGCTTTTCCAGCATTGCAGAGGTTGTGTATATATGCCACTGAGGTCTACTTTACAGATGTAAGAAAAAGATGGTTAATGCTAGACTGAATACTGCAAAATTGCTATTAAAACACTTGAAATTCCACCAATGGCATCTCTCACATTTCCTGGGGTTTGTATGCAGAAAAAGATGGTCAACATGATGTGCTTGATTTCTGGGATGGAATAGCTTGGGGTTGGGTTGGGGGGGGGTCAGAACATGCATACTTCATAGAAGTGCTTTTATGGCTTCATTGGACAGGTACAGTGAAGACTGACATGAAAGCAGAGGCCAAGGAAGAGGGAAGAAGACCTGCATCAAAGGGCCGCAGATCAGACTCAAATCCGGGCTAGCTTTTAGCCATATGGCTGCCTCCTTTTTCCACTGAGCTAAACCAGCACCCAGAAAATGTCTTTCTGAAAGTGCTAGATTAAACTAAACGATAAACATGATTTGTAGAGATTGATACTGGCTTTAACATGCCACACTAATGCTGACCTTTTATTTTAATGATTAAAATGTTACTATATTACTTATAACACCAGATTTTAGAACTCTGTCTAGACAAACATCTGGTGACACCAGCGATCAAAATCGCAGTCCTTGAAAGCAGAGGCAGACATTTGATACAGGGCTTAGCCCTAAAAGGTAGTATGCACATGGGATTGCTTTTAATTAAGCAGCAAGGCAGAACAAAATCAGGGCTGTATCAAGACACGAGGACTATACCCTAGTGATGTGTGGATCGATCCTGAAATATCGATTCCTCCGATACAATCATTTATGTTCTAGAATCGATTCTCACATTAA